GGGCACCCGGGCCGGCCTCACCAGCAGCCCGTAGCCAGGGTTGCACTTGAAGTACTGCTTCCCTCCGATGGAGCCGTCGTTCTTACCTGAGGGAGAGGAAGAGAAGATGGAGAAATGGCTCCGCACAGCGCACAGCCCCTACGGCCCACCATCTAACACAGTGGTTCTCAACCTTCCTAATGCCGCGACCCTTTAATACAGTTCCTCATGTTGTGGTGACCCCCAACCATAAAATTATTTTCGTTGCTACTTCATAACTGTAATTTTGCTACTGTTATGAATCGTAATGTAAATATCTGATATGCAGGATGTATTTTCATTGTTACAAATTGAACATAATTAAAGCATAGTGATTAATCACAAAAACAATATGTAATTATGTATGTGTTTTCCGATGGTCTTAGGCGACCCCTGTGAAAGGGTCGTTCCACCCCCAAAGGGGTCGAGACCCACAGGATGAGAACCGCTGACACAAGTGCGCTGGGGCAGCTGATGTGCTAACCCAGAGCCTGCGCTACCCCACCTCACTCCGGGCACAGACTGTTTTCAATCTAGATGGAATATGTAGAATTTTTCCTCAACCTATAGATGAGTAAAAATGCTTTGAGGTGAAGGGGGAGAACACAGCAGGGGGCTGGGGGTGGACCTGAACAAAGTGACCAGCCTGACCCCCAATGTCAACACCCCATGGTGATGGATGGGTGGGTGGGGAACACCATCTTTGTAGCAAAAAACGATCACGAATTTTCTGCACTCACTGTCTGCACACCCTAACCCGCCCTTCTCTCTTTACCACCCCCCTCAGCGCCACCACCGACTCCCCAGGCCCACAAGGATCACCTCCCACTCTGGCCACTGTCACCACAGGGCTCCTGGGTCACACTCTACCTCCCTTCTCACTGGCTCCTCCCCGGCTCCCCAGGGCCTGGGGCTGGGCCCTCTCCCCCCTGCACAAGGATGCCTCTGAGCTGTGCCTCCAGACTCAGAGTGGGCCCTCTGATATCTGGTCTCCACTGGACGGCCAACCGGCACCTCCAGCTCCACCTGCCCAACTGAACTCTGGTTCCCCTGCCCTGCGGCCGCCCTGCTCTCAGGCTCTTCCACGGGCATGACCCTGGCCTTGGGCCACACTCAGGTGTCACCTGGCTCCTTTCTGCCCTGACATTCTACCACCCTCAGTCCTGGGGCTTCCTGACTCCACCACGCATCCCGGCCTGGACACCTGCACAGCCTCCTATGTGGCTTTCCTGTTCCTGCTCTTCATCCCAAGTCTATTCTCCTAAAAAAAGGCATCTTTTTAAACCTTCAATTCCTTACCCTTCGTGAACTGGCCGCCCCACCACTCCAGTCTCCTGGGCCGGTCTTTGGCTGCCCCTCAAATGCCGAGAGCTGGTTCCTGTGCGGAGCTTGTGCCCGAGGTGCCTTTGGCCTGTCGCTGCTCCCCAACTTCCTCCTTTGCATCACTCATGCCTTCGCTCCCCTCAGGATTATTAAAATGTCCCACTCCCACCATCCTCCACCTGCTTAGCCCACTTTATTTTCTTCACAGCACTTATTACCATCAGATTTTATTGACTTGTTTGTTTGATAATTATCTCCCTCTGAAAGAAAAGTCCGGTGAAACCAGGGACTTTGTTCTGCTCAGAATCCAGGACAGTAGGTGCATAATATTTATTTGTGGGATGAATTCATCTACTTGCTAATCTCCCTTTAATTCTTAATTTAATTGCAAATACAAACTTCTTTCCCAATTCCCGTTTGCATTTAAGCAGAAATGGAATTTAAAAAATATTCCAGCCTGTGCTACAATAATCTTCTAGAACCACTTCCAATTTATGATATTCTTTGCCAAAATCAAAGACAGTGAGTGACTTCATAGCTGAGCTGAGGGGCCCAGAGACAGAGTCAGTGTGGGGCAGGCCTGAGTGTCACAGAGCAAAGCACCCCAACTCTCCCTCTGCCCGAACCCTGCCCCCAGAGCTTTCTCTTCTCCACTCATCAGCCCCACCCACAGGCCACACCCCTCTCTCCTACACCCATCACAGCGGTGCCCAGCCCGCACTGCTGGGGGAGGGAGCGGAGACTAGCCTGGCTGTCCCCAAAGTGTTAGACACAGTTAATGCCGGGATCTCCTCAAGAGAAATGGAGACGGGTGTCCACACAAAAACTCAAACACGAATATTCCCAGCAGGATTGTTCACACAAAAACAAAAAGTGGAAACAACCCAAATGTCTATCAACCCACAAGTGATGAACAAAACGCAGGCCATCCCAACAAGGGGATGTTATTCGGCCCCAGGAAGGAGCAACACACTCCAGCCGGTGAGCCTTGGAAACGCTGCTCAGTGAGGTCAGCAGACACAGAAGCCCACATTCTGGGGCTTCCACTTACATGAAAGTCCAGACTTAAACATTTTGTATGTAGGAAGTAGATGAATGGTTTCCTAGGGTTGGGGCTGGGGGGCGTCTTGATAGACATGCAGCTTTTTGGGGGTGATGAACCTATTCTAAAATTAGATGATGGAAATGGGTGCACAACTTGGTAAGTATACTAAGAACCACTGAACTGTAACTGCGTGAGCCTTGGAAACGCTGTTCAGTGAGGTCAGCAGACACAGAAGCCCACATTCTGTGGGCTTCCACTTACATGACAGTCCAGACTTAAACATTTTGTATGTAGGAAGTAGATGAATGGTTTCCTAGGGTTGGGGCTGGGGGGCGTCTTGATAGACATGCAGCTTTTTGGGGGTGATGAACCTATTCTAAAATTAGATGATGGAAATGGGTGCACAACTTGGTAAGTATACTAAGAACCACTGAACTGTAACTGCAAACAAGTGGATTTGATGGGGTATAAACTGTCTCACAACAGAGACGTTTGAACAAAACACCCGAAGAACAAATTGCGTCCTTAAGTCCGGCCCTGTGTTTCGGAGAGCGAGGACCCACCGCTGTGAGCTGGGCCAGTCTGGCCTGCAGCGGATCTTCCATCACCCTGTCACCTGGTCCAGCTGTGGGCCCAGGAGCCCTGGGATGTGGGAGACCCACTGGGTCCACGGGGCTCGGGAGTGTGACCTGAGCCAGGACGGCAGGTGCAGCTACTGTTACAGTTCAGCTGCAAGTGCTTCTGTGACTAACGAAATCATGGCATTTAAATTCATTACTACGTTTATAGTAGCTTTCAATCAATGTCTTGGGTTTTTTAGAAACTCTAATAAAAAGAGAACCTGACTCTTAAAATGCTTTGGGAAAGTTTATCTAGGAAAAAATGCCTCATTTTAAAAAGTGGTGACTCCAGGAGCTCAGAAGTCAAATGATGTGCTAAGGGCACACAGACAGCTTCTGGCAGGGCAGGGGCAGTGGCAGGGAAGGGGCAGGGGAGGGGTAGGGTAGGG